TTCGGGCCCATCCTCCTGGTGTGACTCGTTCGGGCTCCTCGTGGTGTGAGTCGTTCGGGGCCCTCGTCGTGGTGTGAGTCGTTCGGGCTCCTCGTGGTGTGAGTCGTTCGGGCGCCTCGTCCTGGTGTGAGTCGTTCGGGCCCCTCCTTCTGGTGTGAGTCGGTCGGGCTCGTCGTGGTGTGAGTCGTTCGGGCCCCTCGTCCTGGTGTGAGTCGTTCGGGCTCCTCGTGGCGTGAGGCGTTCGGGCACCTCGTCCCCTTTTGGGGCGTCTTGGGGGCCTCTTGGCGGCCCCAGGGGCTTCTAGGAGCGTCTTGGGTGCCTCGGGGGAGCCTCTTGGGGCCTCTTGGGGGCCTCTTGGGGGCATCTTGAGGGCCTCTTGGAGGCCTCTTGGGGGCCTCCTGGGGGCCTCTTGTGGCCATCTTGGGGCCTCTTGGTGCCTCCTGGGCGCTTCTTGGGGCCATCTTGGAGGAAGTCGATCAAAGAAGAGGTGAGCTTTAATTAGCGCTGCCCCCTTCAGAAGGGCAACATGGGGCCAACACCTTCGTACAATCAATGATTTTGGCGTGAAAGAAGAGGGGAGCTTTAATTAGCGCTGCCCCCATCAGAAGGCCAAAATGGGGCCAAAACCGTAGTACAATCAATGATTTTGGCTTCAAAGAAGAGGAGAGCATTTTTTCTCCCTCCCCCCGTCGGGGCCAGAATCCTCGTGAGGGGTGTCGTTTTTTTAGCCCTCCCAGGAGTCGAAAACGACCCCTCTGACCACCCGCGAGGCGCCCTCTCCAGGCCCAGGGGGAGGGGGTAGGGGGAGGGGTAAACCCCTCCCCGAAGGGGAAGAAGGGGGGTTGAGAACAGAGCGGGCTCTCTAAACCACTCACGCCCAAAGGGCTGGTGGGACTTTGCACATGATGGCTGTCGTCGCAGCCGTTCAAACTTGCCCTCGAAATGGGTCCAGTCCTGTGGCGGAGGTGATGGACCTGAGGGCTTGTCTAGCGGAAGCGGCTTCGGCACCTTCAGCACCTTCTGTGTCCTCTGATGTGCCGTCGTACCTAGCTTAAGTGAAACTGGATAATGGGTCCTGTTACTGGAATCCTCTCGCCTGACGCACGCCCGAACTTCCCCAACAAGATCGTGCGAAACGACAAAATAGTCAAGTTCGCGCCGCACCTTGCCTACACGACAGGTCGGCTTCCCCGAATTGACTACCACAGCTCTGAGTTTTCCCAGGACAGGCATCTTCTGGACCTCCGAGGGCACGTCTTTCCAGTCAGCTGCTATCACGAAAGGCCTCTGATAACTATAGAGAACCCCCCCCAGCTGGTTGAGCAATTGTTTACCCTTAGCTCCTTGGACCCATTCTCCGTCAGGAAAGTACAGAGAACACATATAGAAACCACCACGCACACAACCATTGACCCATACAATCGTTGAACGCGCATGGTGAAGGTGCCGTGCTCCACCCGCAACTTCACTGACGCCTATGTGCTGACGAACGCCTACTGCTACTCCTGCTGGGACGCCCCCCAGGTCCGTCTGGACAGCAGGACTGATGCGCAGCTTCCAACCTTCGTCGGCCGCTGACTTCTCAGACTGTGAAACGTTGGTCTTGACGACCCTGCACTCCTGGATACAAATAACTGATGAACTCTTGAAATTCTCATCCGTCAAGGCTGCGATAGCGCCTGACCAACCTGATATATTCACCGTGGTGATCTCCCACGTAGATGAAGAGGAACTGCTTCGACTGGTACACTTGGGCGGCGACTCGCCACCCGTGCTAAACACTCGGCGGAGTTGACGCAGGAGCCTCCGCACCTCCCTTGCCAGCACCTGGGCCCTTCCCGTGGGTGCCCACCAGGCGCCTAGCGTGGGCTCGAAGCTCCTCCGCCGTGCTCTTTCCCGCTGCCTTCGCCGGAGCCGCAGCCCCCGGCTGCGCTGGCGCCTCGGCCGCGCCAGGCTGTGGGCTGCCCTCGGCGGCCGCCGCACCTGCGCCTGACTGCGCTGGCGGGGCCGACCCTGCAGCTTCAGGCGTCTCAGGCTCCTGGCGGCGCCTCTTCGACTGCAACCGGGTCTTGAGCTCCTCATGCTCCTTCTTGTATTGCTCAGCCTTCTTCTTGAGATCTCCAAACATCGCCTTCGCGAGCGTCTGGAACTGCTCCTTGAGCTGAGCCTCACGCTTGCGCGCCTCCTCCTTGTCTGTCTCCTCGACGTCCACGAACTCCGCCAGGCCGAACAGGTCTTCTCCGCACGAGAGAGTCCACTCCTGCTTTCCCTCCAGCATGGCCTCCAAGCTGAGGGTCGGCGGCGCCTGCGTGGCGTCCGCGGGCGGCACGACAACGGCGTGCAGCTCCTTGATCGCATCTGTGTAGATGGCCTCCTGCTTCTCGATCTGGTCCAGGAGCGTGGTGACCTTTGCCTCCTGCTCCGTGACCTGCTTCTGTAGCTTCTCCAACCGGGCGGACTCAGCGCTGAGGTCCTTCTCCAGCTGCTTGATGCACTTGTGTGCCTGATCAGCTCTGACTTGCGGCGCCACGTGCTGCTTGTCCCTGATGGCCAGCACCTGTTGGTAGTACTCGACCATCTGGGTGTTATTGCACTTCTCTCCGAGCAGCACCAGCTGCTGCAACTCTGGCACCCTGAGCTCTGGCACTGGGTCTGAGCAAGCCTGAACGAGGCCTGGTTGAATGGGCGGACCGTGCTGAGGAGCGCGACCACCAAGCCCAGGCGGAGTACCCAGGTCTCGACCCTTGCCCTTGGGTTTCTTGTTCTTGCCCGTCTTCCAGTGCCGCTCGCAGTGCTTGCACCAGTGCTCGTTGATGGGTGTCTTGCCGCACCCGCAGTGCATACATTTCCAGACAGACGCGTCATGCCAGCCGCCTGCCATCGCGCATCTCTTCGGAAAACCTGCGAGGCCGTCGAAATCTTCGAGAAAGTGTGGCCCTCACCCTGGGCCAGGGCTTCTGATCGAGGGTCGTGCGGGTCCCTAGACCTCTTGAGCCCCAACCCCAGGGAAGGCGAAGGCCCCAGGCAACGGCTTGAGCCAACTCCTCCTCCTCCTCCTCTTCCTCCTCCTCCTCCTCCTCCTCCTCCTCACTGCTCTCCGCCCTCAGGCTGGGCACCTCCGCCGCGGGCCGCACCTGGATCCTGCCGGGAGAGCGAGAGTCCCGCGGGACTGCGCAGCGCGCCAGGCGACGGAGGCCTGCGCGGCGACGGCGACCTGCTGCCAGAGGCCTGCCGCCAATGTGGAGGCTCGCGACTCGCCGCCTGCCATGACGGCACAGAAGCCTGCGCGCTCTCGCCCAGGCGGCCCCCCCGGCTCAAGCCCGCGCGAGGAGGTGTCGGGCCCCGCGTGGCGTTCAGTCGGGCACGTCCCTTTGCAAGAGGAAAAGTCGACAATAGCAAACCAATAGGTTTGGGACGGTGTTCGATTCTTTTTGACTATTTTGGGGGTGTTCTTTTGACTACTTTTCATTCTTCCTCCAAAGTCCGCCTGTAGGAGGACATGCCCGACCTGAGCGTAGCGCCGCCTCTCAGCCTTCTCCTCCTGCGCCGCTGCGGCTCCGTCCCGGCTGGCCGCTGCTCGGATCCAGGGCAAGTCGTTGCGGGCGCCTACAGTGGAGGCCCATGCCAAGCAACACCCTGCATGCCTCCAGGGTGCCCAGGGTTTCTTCGGTTTCTGTGATTTTTCGATGGAAATCGTGACACGAAAAATCAATGAAAGTCTTGGGGTCTCAGGGTTGGGTTTCTTGTGGAAGGTTTCTTGTGCACTGGCCTCCACTGTATCACGACGACGACAGTCGCCACACATGTCTGCCATTGCAGTTGAACGCGACGCCCAGCACGTTCCCAGCCTCGTCGTCCGCCGTCGCGTCCGTCAGGGCCTGCGTCCGCAAGCTTTCGAACCATTGCTCACGGAGCGCGCGAAGGTCGATGTGCGCCTTGACGAAGCGCCACAATACGGTAGAGGGGAACAATTACTGAACACTCCTCCTTTCCCCCAAGCTCAAAGTTGGCACGCGCGGGGGAGACTGCGGTCGAGGTGCAACTCATCAGACCCACCGCCAAGCGCGGGGAAAGCTGCGCGCAAGCTGCGCGCAAGCTCAGCTCTGTGTGCAGTGGAGGCCCAGGCCAAGGAACACCCTGCTTGCCTCCAGGGTGCCCTGGGTTTCTTGAATCTCGATGGCTCTGCTGCGGAAGGCGTGACGCTCCCGCGCCAAGGATCGATGGACGTCCTGGGTCCTCAGGGTCGGGCTTCTTGTGAGAAGGTTTCTCTTGTGGACCGGCCTCCGTTGTCCAGAGGCGCCCCAGCGCACTGCCGCCAGGGGTGCTGGCGCGATCCCGCGTGCGACGGGAGCAGCCGCCCGTTTCGCTCTCCTCTCCCTCCTCCCTCCCTCCTCCCTCCCTCCTCCCTCCCTCCTCCTCCCTCCTCCTCCCTCCTCCCCCTCCTCCTCCCTCCTCTCCTCCTCCCTCCTCCTCCTCCTCCCTCCTCCCTCCTCCCGCTCCTGGCCCGGCCCCTCCCCGGCCCAGGATCGGCGGACGCGTCTTGTGGCGGGGGCCCATGCCGAGAACCACCCTGCATGCCTCCAGGGTGCCCAGGGTTTCTTGTGTCTCGATGGTTTTGCTATGGAGAGCGCGACGTTCCCACACCCAGAATCGATGGACGTCCTGGGGTCTCGGGGTTGGGCTTCTTGTGGAAGCTTTCTTGTGGTCGGGCCCCTACTATATGCACCAATCCCGGGCTCAAGACTGGCCTGACCAGGACCGGTGAGCTGGCCAGCTGATGTGCCCCGACTCTCCGTCTCGCCTGCCCCGGATCTCGTCGAAATCCGCACGTTCCACGTCTGGAGTGTTCACTCACATGCACGGGTCGGCTTTGACAGCCGACTCCCTGGCACGAGTTGGAGAAACGATCAGGCGTGTGCGATGTCTCCCTTCCGCCTCTTCCTCCCTCTTCTCCAAACAATGGATCGTGTCTGACAGCCGCGATGATGAGTGCCCTTTCTGAAAGGTGCGCGCCTCGGCGGCCGAGTCCTTGTTGCAGACCATTGCGCTCAGCGGCGGTCTGGAGGAGCTGGCGAGCATGATCAAGCCAGAGAGAGAGGGAGAGGGGATGAGAGAGAGGGGGAGGGAGTCGAAGTACAGTCGGGGCCCTGAGGAAGGAACCCTTTTCGTTGGGGAGGGGCTCCGCGTTCCTTAAGTGTTTCACAGCTTGCCTCAGGTTTTCCTTATGTTTCCGATAGGAAATCGAAGTTTAACTTATGGAAAAAAGGGGCCCCGTTCCTTATTTAGGGTTCCTTAGGTCAACGCCCCGACTGTACAACAAACTACACAAGCATGAGCAGTCGAAGCTCCGCGCCGAGTTCTCGCGGCGCTTCCGGCGCCGATCCGGGAGGTTCTTGCGGCCATCCGGCAGTTCGATCTGGTGTGCAGACTCGCGCTCCTCTGGAATGGACGTCAGGGGAGGGGAGGGAGTCGGACGAAGGAGAAGCGTCACCATCGCCACCACTGGGCCACCTCCGCCGAGCGGTGCCCGCGGTGCTTCCCCCCAGCCGACGATGGGAGACGTCTCGAGCGAGAGGGCCCCACACAGGGGGACCACACCACCAAGATAACCCTGCCCAGTTTCCTCCTCCTCCTCCTCCTAAGCTCCTCGACCCTTTCCTGGGAACCAGCTCTTCATCGCGGGTCGTTTTTTGACGGTCCTGGGGCCCCCTTAGGCCCACCGTACGTAGATCGAACGTTCCAACAGCGTCCCGTTTTGTTCTTCACGACGCGAGGAGGTCAGGGCAGGGAAGGTACGCATCAGGGCCCCCATGCGAGCACGAAGCCCAGTCCGAGACCAGGCGCAGAGTGAAACGTTAGATTTGCACTCGCGCTCGGGACATCGCCGACTTCTAGGCCTGTCAGAATTGGGGGCCTCCACTGGGGCCAGACCAGGGCACTGACAGCCTCATTCGCCAAGCACTGAGAAGAAAGTGCTAGTTTTTTATTCATTGTTTTGCCGATCGACGCGGGCCCTCGCACCCCTGTTCCTTCCCCCCCTGGAGTGGATCTTGGCCGTTATTTGGACGCCTGCTTCGAGCAGGTGGAGTCTCCCCGATAGGACGCACGGTTCCAAACAGTCGCATTAAGCAGAGGTCTGGAGCCAGACCCCCCCCCTCCCCCCCCTTCCGCCCAATGTCGAAACGCTGAATAAAAAAAACGCTCACAAAGGAGGGGAGAGAAAGGACGCACGAAGGGGCGGCTTTCCTGGGAGCCTCTCTGGCATTGGTTGTAGTCTTATTGGGCTGGTCTCAGGCGCTCAACCGGATTCTAGCGCGACGCGCTCAGAGACACGCTTCAGCATCCCGCAGACATGTCGAGCATGATGGCGGCGATCTGCAAGCACAGAGGCTCTGTGCTGCGGGACCCTGCCGTCAATTCCAGCAAACGACTTCCTGCAGCAGGGATCGCTGGCCACGCGCAGAGGGGGAATGGGGGGAGGGGGGAGGGCTTCTTGGAAGCACCCCTGCTTCTTAGAAGGCGCGGGCCTTCTCTATAGATGTAAGGCCGGCGCCTGCTAAGAAGCAGCCTCCTTCTAAGAGGCCCTCCCCCCTCCCCCCACCCCCTGGTGCGCGCCGCCAAGATAGCTCGAGGGTGCACGGGACGGCGTGACTGATTCTGGCCTCTTCGGGGCCCCCGCGGGCCTCCCCACAAGGCCGCTCTCCGCACCGCTGGGAGGCCGCCTCTCTTGGGGCTCCTCCTCGCAGGCCCTCCGCTCGGGAGGTCCTCCTTTCCTCGGGCATGCCCAAGAAGACGAGACTATCTACGTGTCCGATCCATAGGAGCCCCCTGGAAACTAGAGCTCGCCAGAGAAAAACAGCCTCGCAGCACCGCGCAACGACGCGCAGCACCTCGCGAACACGCGCATCGCGCAGCACCGCGCCATTTCCTGAGCAGCGTTGAGCGGTGTTGCGCGGTGTAGGTTTCCAAGGGCACGTGCAGCGTTCGGTGTTGCGCGGTGGTGCGCGGTGTTGCACTGCTCTTTCGGCTCGGACACGTAAGGATGAATTGCTCCAGAGCGTTCCAGATTGCTCTCAGAGCATTCTGGAACGCCCTGGGACTTCTTTTGAGGGGACGGGGAGGGGGCGGGAGAGGGACGCGGACAGCGGATGATCAGCATACCAGGATGGCATACCAAACGGTTCCTCACGTTCTGGTGCCAGGGCCAGGGCCCTGGCCGCAAGCAGAAGACATTTAGAACGCTCTGGGACTGCCGCGACGCTGGATGGACCCTCCAGACCCGCCAGCTCTCAGAGATGCTGTTCTTCATGACCGCTTCTCATCTCATCATCGCCCTGCCTTCTCTGTTGGAAGCCCTTCCCTCTTTCGGGAGCTCCCCGTTCGCTCGAGGGAGACACACACGCAGAGGCGCACACCTTCGGAGGCCCGCGCAGATGCGCTGGGTCGGCGCGGTCCCTCCCCCTGGCGTGCTTTCGGGCACCATGGAGAGGGGGCTTAGGACACCAAACTTCCGCGTGGAACTCCAATCGTTTAGGCTTTTCTGCGTTCCCCTCCACCTCCCCAGGCCCCTTCGTTCGTTTGCTGGTTGAAATTCAGGCGTGCGGTTGACTTGCTGGGCTCCAGCACCGTCAACGCAAATTCAGGACGGGTCCTTTGGAAGGGTTTTCGTCTTTTCGACGTGTGCGGACTGGCCGCCAGCAGCGTGATCTTCGATCTCGACCAGCATCGCGAAATGCACGCTCCGATCCACTTCGATACGTCGATTCGATGCTGGCCACTGCTGCTTGGCGAAGCGCACAAGGGGATGGCGCAAGGGGTGTGGCCTCCTGAGCAGGCGGGGGGCTTCCTGGAACGGCGGATGGCTTCCTCAGAACGGCCTCCTCTGGCGCGAACAAGGAACGGTCGCGACCCAGGCCAACCCCCCCCCCTCCCTCTGGGCAGCACTAACGATCGTTCGTAAGGAGGGTGGGGGGGGGCTCGGACCCCGCCATGGTATGCGCGCCCCTGCCCTGACGTGCCCCACCCCGCCCGAGCGTCACTGGTACCCGGCCTCCTTCCCCTCTCGGGGTAAAGACCGTCACAGTGAGCGGCTTGAATAAGGAACGCTTACTTTTCAAAAGGGGCTCTGTCGTTCCTTAGGCTTGCATGCGTTATGTATCGTCCCCTACGCGTTATGCATTATTTGCTCATCGTTCCCTATGCGTTATTCTTTGCAAGAAAGGTGCTTCGTTCCTTATTTATCTTTCCTTAGGTCAGGCCGACGACTGTACCAGAAAGAACAAGTGAGGCGTTCCGGAAAGGGCCTTGCCATCGAGGATCGAAGGAGTTGCCATCTTCTCCGCGGCGGCAGGCGGCACAAGGTCGGCAGAAGGTCGGCGGAAGGAAGATGCGGAATTAAAACATGCGCCCCCAAGAGATGGAAACGTTTTTGGGTCCAGGGCACTCGAAATCGCCCAAGTAGTCTCGAAGGCCGCGCCCCAGGCGCCCCCCCCCCAGGCGCAGCAGCGCCAACCTGCCCCCCCTTCGGAGAGGAGCGCCCTTGGTGCTGCTGGCACGGGGAGGGGGGAGGGAGCTTGCTGGTCGACCAGTTGACAGCCTGGAGACTCTTATTCCACCTGCTGCCGAGCTCGTCGTCCTCCCCCATCTTTCCCTCGGCCCTCGTCTTTCAGGAGGGGAAAAAACACAGACACAATCAATCGTCGATTCCCTCGAAAATATAGGAAAATATGGGAAGTGGGGGGGAAGACAAAAAACCAAAAAATAAAGGAAAATATGGGGAATCCTTTTATTTGTGTGTGTGTGTGTGTTTATTTGTGTGTCCCAGGGCCCCTTCTTCCTCCCCCATCTTTCCCTCGGCCCTCGCCTTGCAGGCCACCCCCCCATAGCGTCCCCCTCTCCCCCTGGCGCAGTGCCGCCCATTCCTGCCCCCCCCCCTTCGGAGGAGCGCGTCTGGGCGCTGCTGCCCTCCGCGGCCTCGAAGGCGGTGCAGCGGCTCGCGGGCGAGCGGCAGGGCGTGAGCCTGACCAGCTTCTCGCCGTGCGAGGAGGAGCCGCGGCCCCTCTGGTTCGGCAGCGCATCCCAAGCAGTGGCGAAGCGTCCCGGCTCGCCAGAAGGCCCACCAAGTAATGTTCTGAGAGCCCTTTGTGGTCTGCACTACTTGTTCTTCGAACATCTCTTGCTGAGGCTATCGTGCTTTAACACGTCGGGTTGATATTCTAAGAATATTGTTTCTGTACTTTAGAACAGCTTCGGATTCTAAGAAGATTTCGTGGTAGGCCTATAGGAATGCCGGGACGGTTGGTCTCTTCTCGAAAGCCATAGGAGCCTTGTCTACCCTCGTAATTCTGTCTTCAGCGTCGATTCGCGTCGATTAGCGTCTGGGAGTCGATGAGACAGCGCCGATTTGGCGTCGGTTAGCGTCGGTTAGCTTCGATGTAGCGTCGATAAGCGTCGACCAGCGTCGATTGCGAAGGCCTCACGGCCGGTGCCGCCGACCCTGAAGGGGAACGACGACAACGGCGGCGGCGGCGACGACGAAGATGTTGACGTGGGTGAGAGTCCTCATGGATGCTTCTTGAGGTCTCTTCGAAGCGCTCTCGGGGGCCTCTGGGGGACAGTTTAGGGGCCTCTTGGGAGCCTCGTGGGGGCCTCTTGGGGGCCTCTCGGGGCTTCCTGGGGGCCTCTTCTCTTAGGGCCTCTTCGGGGCCTCTTGGAGGCCTCTTGGTTCCTCCTGGGAACCTCTCGGGGCCGAGGGCTCGAAATGTCCGTTCTGGTCCCACGTCTGGGCACCCTCTTGGAGCCGTCTTGGGGTCCTCCTGGCCGTGTTGGAGGCGTCTTGGGCCGTCTTGGGGCGCTTGGGGCGATCTGGCGGCCCTCTCAGGCCGTCCTGGAGCGTCAGGAAGCGTAAAGGGTGGGAGCGCCGAAATGCTTCAACAACAAATAGGAAGTCAGGGTTTTTTCCGCTCGGGGCCCTCTTGGGAGTGCTCCTGGAGGCCTCCTGGGGCGTTTTGCAGGGCTTTTCCGTCGCCTGGAGGCCGTCAAGGGCGTCATGGACAGATCGTTCGGCGATTCAGGGCCTTCTTGGACCGTCTCGGGGGCCGCTCGTGGCCCGTCTTGGGGCTCTTCTGGGCCCCGCGGGGAGTCGTATCTGACCCGGGCCCCCCCCTCATGGACGCCCCCTCATGGACGCCCCCCCTCCCAGCGGGGGAGGGGTTAGAGGGAAGGGGCTTCCCTTCGCGTCAGTTGCGACGTCGCGTCGCTCAATTTCGCTTTGGCTGGCGCTGGCGCGCTTGAGGAGTAGGGCCTGGGGAAGGGCAGGAAAGGGTACCCGTACCTCTACCCTCCCCTCGTTTCCTCCTTTTGGGCCTCCTGGGCGGCCCTCGTCGCCACCGCTGGACTCGCCTCGAGATCCTCGGCAGAGCGCACCCCAGGAGAGGTCCGGGGAGTCGCGGTATCGGCACCTTTTGGTGTCCCCCACGGGGGGAAGAAGAGGGGGGAGCGGCGACGGGCCCAGCGCTTGAGGAGGAGGGCCCAGGGCAAGGCGGGGTGGGGGGAGCAGCGACGGGCACGGGGAGGGGGCGAGCGCTGGGGAGGGGGACGAGGGAGACGACGACTACCGAACGACGGAGACGAGGAGGAGGAGGAGGAGGAGGAGGAGGAGGAGGAGGAGGAGGAGGACGCGTTGACGCGTTGCGCGACGATGTCGCTAGGAGGAGGAGGAGGAGGAGGAGGAGGAGGAGGAGGAGGAGGAGGAGGCGGAGGAGACAGGCGCCTCCGCCGCTGCGGCTGGGGCTGCGCCAGTGCCCAAGGAGGCGTGGTCGCAGACAGAGCGCATGGCACCCTGCCACGACGGATCCAGACCGTCCGGTTAGCTGAGCTTGCAGGCATAATTGTGGCTGAAAAGCATACGTGTGCTGAATGCCACTTCGTGCTGGATTGTTGGAGCGTGATCGATGGGATTCGACGCGTGCCCAACTCGAAGCATGAAACCAATTCAGCGGCTGGGTGGATTTCTAGGAGGCGTTGACGAAAAGTAAAGACCCACCTCCAAGAAGGGAACGTTGGGGTCCACATTACCCGTGAGGACTTCATGGCAAATCAGGCGGCAGATGAGTGCGCAGGGAATGAAGCCCGTCGCTGCAGGCTCCCCCAGCATGCCATCCAGGAAGTTTTGTGATACTGATCATAAGGCATTTTGCGTGCAGAAGCGCCTCATGGAGGTAGCCCTGCGAGCGGCAGCTCAGACCACACCCCTTTACCCGGCCACCTCCCGTGCGGATCGCGTGGCCTTGGGTCGTGCTTCCAGGGCCCAGCGTGTAGCGAGCATTGAGCAAGCGCTGCAGCAGAGCCCAGGCAGCGTGGTCGAGAAGGGGGGAGGATAAGTTTTGCACTGTCTGCCGAGGGCGCCCAACCAAGGAGTAGGGAGCGCTGGACTGGCTTGTCTCGCAGTGCCCGGGTAAACCCCACCGAGTCCAGAGGAGTCATGAGGTGTCACTCACCTGCTGGTGACCTTGCAGTGCTTTTCCAAGCCTCCGCAATGTCACCGACCTTCCAGTGACTTCTGGTGCCTTTTCCGGCTCCTGCAAGGTCACCGACCGACCTGCTCCTCCGCGTCCTCCTCCTCCTCGTCCTCCTTCTCCTCCTCGTCCACCTCCTCTTCTCCTCCTCGCCAGCGGCACCCTGGCCCGGCGCCCAACGCCCCATAGATATACACATGTATATTTAGATGTATATGATACCGGAGAAAATCCCCTAGGCTATAGGGGCTATAGGGCTATAGGGCTATACGGCTATTGCGCTATAGGGTAATGGAGCTACAGGGCTATAGGACTATAGGGGCGTAGGGCTATAGGGTATAGGGGTATAGGGCTGTAGAGCTATATGGCTATACGGCTATAGGGCTATAGGGCTATTGAGCTATAGGGCTATAGGGCTATAGAGCTATAGAGCTGTAGGGCTATTGGGCTATAGGGCTATAGGGCTATAGGGCACCCCCAGGCACCCCCGGGCACGCCCGGGCACCGGGGCACCCGGCCACCCGGGCACCCGGGCACCCCCGGGCACCTGGGCACCCGGGCGTGCAGCGAAAATCGGCGGCAGACCTAACCTAACCATATGAAGCCGCTAGGACCCCTGCAGAGGCTAAGCTCTGCTTGGGGAATCTATGCAGGGTGCGCAGGCCGGGACTGCCGTCTCATCCGCCCGACAGGCGGCACTTCTCCGTCTTGCCCTCCGGGCGCTCCTCGGCGGTTCGGTGTGCGGGGTCGCCGCCGTCCCCCCCCCCCCTCCTCTTGGCATCGCTCGGACGTGTGCATTTTTCTCTCGGCGAGGGCCATCGAGGAGCATCCTTGATCGTTTTGCGAAAAAGCCACGCACGAAACCGACAAAAACACAGGGAATGGACGTCCGAGCGATGGCCAGTCCTCCACCCTTCTCTGCCTCTCTCTCTGTCTCTCCTCCTGGTGTGCCTGGCGTGTGCGAGTGCGTCGCCAGCACGCGCAGCCAGGTGAGAGGCCCCAGGCTACAGCTGGGTGCGTCCATCGTCCGTGCTGGGTGTTGTGTTGCATGTGGACACATGAGATGTCTTGTGCTCGTGGACTCTGGTGGTGTCGGAAGTGTGGGGCTTACGGCAGTACGAAGATAAGCAAAGGTTTGCAGGGCTTCTGCCACCTCCCTAGTGACTGGGGTAAGATATGGTCAGGTCATGAGCCGCGCATCTGCAAGACGCGTCTGCAAAAGCATCCGGATCACTGATGGACCCGTGCTTGGTGGTGTGCCTACTTCCAGGTTGCGATCGCGCTCGGCGGAAAAAGGAGCGCATCAAGACTCTGACGCTGAAACACAGAGCACAACGCGTCTGTAGAAAGTACGGTGCCTGCTGTGAAGCACAACACAAAACATACATTTATTATCATAATAGCAAGGAGGAGGGGGAAGGCGAAAGGCAGGGAGGAGGGCAGAAGAAGGTCAGAAGGCTTGGCCAGACATGCTGGGCCAGTGGCAGGGAAATCGGGCGTAGTTGCATAGTTTTGCAGCGCGCGCGCGTCGTCCCTCCGCTTCATGTGAGGATCTGTGAGGATCTGGGGACCTGGAGTGTGCGCCAGGACGAGGAGGAGGAGGAGGGCGAAAGAGAGTAGGATAAGGATGAGGATGATGATGAGGAGGAGGAGGAGGAAGAGGAGGAGGAGGAGGAGGAGGAGCCCGAAGAGGAGGACAAAGGAGGAGGAGGGAGGAGGAAGAGGAAGAGGAAGAGGAAGAGGAAGATGAGGAGGAGGAGGACAAAGGAGGAGGACACAGGAGGAGGAGGAGGAGGAGGAGGAGGAGGAGGAGGGGGAGGAGGAGGAGGAGGAGGAGGAGAAGAAGTTTTAACCTATGTGGTGTAAGCCATATAGTGCAATGTCTGTGGTGTAAGCTATGCCGTGGAATAGACGCGGTGTGAGCTGTGTGGTGCAATGCCGTTGCAATGCAAGACGATTCAGAACATTGAAAATGCGATTCAGTGCGATTGCCATGCGAATGCAATGCGATTGCAATGCGATTGCAATGCGATTGCAACTGCGCTGCGATTGCACTGCGATGTCATTGCAGTGCAGAGCAGTGCGATTGCCACGCAGTGCGGCGACGAGGCGGCGGCGACGAGGCTGCAACGGGGCGGCGACGGGGCGGCGGACCGGGGCAAGCACAGGCTGGGCCGGGGCGGCAGACCAGCTCAGTTCCCTCACAAGGCCAAGCGAACCATCCCAAGTGCAGGCGCTGCTTGGGGAACTAGGATCGGGGGCGGAAAAGAGGGGGGTGATGACTAGGGGGGGTGGATACCATGGCGGGGGCCATGATATTTCCCCAGATTTCCTGGCGCCTCTTCTTATTTCATTACGTCCCTGGCCCCCCCGCTGGGCCGCGCACATGCCGCCGGTCACGATTTGCACCCCCCCTCTGGGACGCCCCCCTCTTGGCCGCTCCCGACCAAGTGCAGGCGCTGCTTGGGGAACTAGGAGGTGGAGGACGAGGAGCAGCAGGAGTTTTCTGGGTGAAGCAATAACTTCGCGGGTGGCAGGACACGATTAGGATAAAGCAGGGAATGCGCAGCAGGAGGATCAGGAGGAGGAGGAGGAGGAGGAGGAGGAGGAGGAGGAGGAGGAGGAGGAGGAGGAGGAGAAAGAGGGAATGTGACACTGTGCTGTCTAGCCGAGACGCTGAAGAGATGACCACTTTCGGCTAAGGAGGGACTCTTGTTTTCGGGCCGGTCCTGAGATCCAGGCCGGGGAATCTATCCGTGGACGACGCTCGCCGAGGCCAGGAAAGCCCCTTCGTTCCCTGTTCGGCGCTCCTGGCGGTATAGTGGGGGCCCATGCCAAGAAACGCCCTGCTTGCCTCCGGGGTGCCTTGGGTTTCTTGGGTTTCGATGGTTTTGCTATGGAAAGCGTGACGCTCCCACACCAAACATCAATGGACGTCCTTGGGTCTGAGGGCAGGGTTTCTTGTGGAAGGTTTCTGGGTGGTCGGGCCTCCACTGTACGCCCTACGTAGGTCGCGTTGGCTTTCTTGCGTGCGCGGGCAGGCGCGGCTCCGTGGAACAGAGGCAGGCTGCACTGGTGCTGGTCGGACGCACTTCCCGTCGTGATTCTTGCCTGGCGCGAGGGTGTCTGCATTCGACGGCCCCTGGGGCATACAGTCGGGGCGCCGAAGAAGGAACCGTTTGCGTTGGGGAGGGGCTCGGTGTTCCTTGATCGTTTTACAGTTTCCCTTAGATTTTCCATGGGAAATCGAAGTTTGACTTCGGGAAAAAGAGGCCTCGTTTCTTATTTAGGGTTCCTTAGGTCAACGCCCCGATTGTATCGCGCACGATTCTCCAGGGGCAAGGTCTTCACTGAGCTCCGCGTCGCCTGTCGGTCAGGCAGTGCGCCGCTGACTCCTGGCCTCTCCCGGGCACGCGGCCCGTCAGGACAGCATCCAGAAGGGCACCCTCATCCAGGAGCCGGCGGGGAGGTATGGTGGTCCTGC